AAACGCATTATGACGCTTATTTTTCGCATTGACACGTCTAAACTTGTGATTCTTGATTCTCGGCCTCGACGCTTCGTTACGCATTACACATTTTAGAACACTGCTGAAAAGTGGACCTTTCATGAGTCCGTGTTCATAGAGCTTAAATTCCGGACAGTGGGTCCCAGGATCTGCATGTGAGTGTGTTGCTTTGTCGAGTGGGTTATGACTTCTCATTAGAGCCAACCGACACGTGGTAATTGGTGTTTGCACCGTGCCTGTTGAACAACTATGCTATTTGTATTATCATAATTGACAATATTGGCGATTTTATTCATTTAAAAAATAATTTTTTAAATAGATAAATGTGATGTTATCAAGTGTGAATTATCAACCAATATTTTTAAACTACATTGTATATATAGCATGATTCCTTATTAAAACATTAGCGTCACGTGCTAGTGAAATAACACGGCGTCACCAAATTTCCTGATCGACATGCTTACATTTTGTAAGGCAATTATGCTACAAGTACATAAAATTTTGACAGAAGGTTTCGACAAACATCACATGACTTGGAATCATTGAAAGATGGAGAGATAGAAAAAAGAAAAACCAATCATACGTCGCCACATTAGCATCAATATAAATTTTGTCAACATTTTTTTCTTTTGTACTCACGACTTTTTCCTTTGTAAAGTTGGGGTATTTAGAAATAGAAATTCATTATTGTTAGATAGTAAAACGCAGGGAAAGGATTTCATTAAAGCACCTTTTGGTAGTCAAAATACATTTTAACAAATTGGGTTAAACATGATTAAAAGTATTTTGATGTTCCCATTAATTTTTTTGATTAAGCATCCCACATTTTCATTACATTTCTAAGCTTTGAGTTACACTATTTTAATAGTGTAAACGCTACGGATAAACAAGAGATGTTTGCAAGGAAGACGGGTTTGATAAGTTGATATTCAATAAATCAACTCTTGTAGGTCAAAAAAGACGATCTCTCTTCGAAGAAGGAATAAAATAAAAATCATCCTGAATTCAAGAGCACTAATAAAAAAATGTTGACTTTGAAATTCGACGACACGTTGACCAAAGTTGCCCGCTCTACTCGCATCCACATGTATGTTACCTGCACATTACACCAAAAAATTAAAATGAGGAGACGACCTTGGCACTCCAGCACTCAAGTTTGCACAATGAACATGATCAATAGGATCCAAGTTAAAGAGAAACTATCAATTGCAATATGTGGATGATATGTAAAATTTCATTAAATTTGAACGACACTAAACGTGAGACTTATACTCGGATGGAAGACGCAATATCCATTCGACGTTGACAAATGGTCTCATCTTATCTTGATTGAAATGACGTTTGCATAAAATATCTTACCATGCAAAGGTTGGTCACTTCGAAAATCCATTGCAACGCAATGTGCTAACTCGGCTCAAAAGTAGCGGTTCAGAGGTGTCGTAATCATCTTGCCCGACTGCCAATGGCAGAGGAGGGGCAATGTGATGTGAAGCGTGAGCCTCGCGAGAAGAGGTGTAACAAAAATATTTCATTTTTGATATATCAATATAATAGATAATGATGATACCAATTTTAAATAACCAAAACGAGCACCCAGCATGAGGAAGAATGGTCCCATTTGAACCCCATTCTCATGATCTCCCCGGGTTAAGTGTCCTCGAGCTCGGGCATTAATGACCCAACAACTCTTTCTCGAGTTTACAACCGAAGCCCCAAACCGTGCAATCCCTAGGCTGTTAAAAAGTCTACTTCGTTTCAAAGATGCCCTAGGAAGCAAAGTCCTTTTAAAAATGTGTTACCTCATCTTAAGAGGATTCTAAAAATAGAATCCATTCTCTATCCAAACACGTGGGTAATACAAAACCAAATGAGTGGCAATTACCAAGCATATTAGAAAATGTAGGGATTTCAACATTGCAATCATACTAAGAGTGCACCACCCACCTCTATAAATAAATCATTCCAATTCATTATCAAAGTACGTTTTTACAAAAAAATTCAGCACATATCTTTTCATAAATTCTCTCTCTGACTTAAGTATCGGAGGGGCGACGAGGATACACCTCGACACCTTTGTTTCAGGTACTGGAAGATCACTCATTCTCAGTCGTCAAGCTCGGAAGTCGATCGGTACAATTTTTGGTAGCATCAGATAGTGTGGTGGTAGTTAATTAGGCCGCTGAGATTAAATTATTATTTTTAAAAAAAAGTATGAATTAATGGTAAGATTCTGTACCTGCAACTAAATAAGTTCACTTTAGACACAATAATCAAATTAATTTGTTAAAGTAAACAAAAGTTTTGTCTGCCATTTACGTACATGCAGAATTTGAGACGCATGACCGGGAACATTGTTACAGTTCCGAAGCCCCTTGATTTCTTTTCAATTGCTTTTTGTTTAGAATTCAAATCCCACAGTTTAAAGTGTTGACTTTGGGTTTATGAGTATAAATAAATTAATCAACTTCTTAAATAGGAAATAAAAGAAATATTCAATTAATCAATTAATTTAAGTGTGTCACGATCCAAGATGATACAATGTGCCTGGGAACTGGACTAGATCCAAGAACCATGGTTAAGTGAATTACAATTTATTAGCACTAAATTATTAAGTTCCTCGAGAGAATCGTTTACTTCAAAGCGGACCGTGAACTGGGACGATTTTTTGAATTCAAGTCCACAGATTTTGTTTTATTCAAGTTGTGTGGTTTCAGAAACTTTAAGAATTTTAATATTATCTGTTAAATTATTTCATTGATCTTTTATGATTACATCCACAACGGTATGGTTATGTATTTATATACACTTTTCTTTAATTTTTGGACAGATTTTTTTTTTTAATTCATTTTTAGTTACTAGTTATTTTGTGATGGGGATCATGAAACCACTATCATTTCTGGACAAATGGGACGCGTGACAAACAAGATGAAGACACGAGGAGAAGCACCTTATGGTGCATCGGGCGTAGGGGCGGACCTACATGAGGCCGACGTCCCCCACTCAATTTCTAGATTTCCCAATTTTTCTTCAGATTTTCAATTTTTTTTAGTTTTTTTTGTCCAGGTGTTTTTAGGTTTTCAGATTTTTTCCAAGATTTTTTGGTTTCGCCCCCAATAAACTTCCTTCCTGGGTCCCTCCCTGATCGGACGTACACAACCCCTTATGGGTCTGTCTCATTACTTGGCTTAGTTCTTTATTTTATTTCAGCGCCTGTTTGAGCTTCATTTTCTTTTTTTTGTAGAACACATTTTGAAATAGTAAATTGATGGAAAATATGTTGTTAAAAAATAAGAAAAAGTTTTGAGTTTGCGTGTAATATTATTTTTATTGAAGAAAGTGTAATTGAAAAGAAGAGAGAAAGATATATTTTGGAAAAAATGGAAATCAAACAAGAGTTCGGTTTATATTAAAGATATTTTCATCTTTATGCTTTCGCAAGGGTTTTTTTTTCGCAATGTTTTAATCTCTTTGTTTGCATTGTTGGGCGGTCGATTATTTTGATTAAAACTAAATACAAACGTGAGAAGTTTTCTCCATTCTTGATCTTAGTTCGAGTTTCTTTGGGTTCTTGAATTTGTTCGTTGTGTAAATTTATTTCCACGCTGCATCTACGTCATTTTGTATGTATGTATAAATAGTAAACACGAAATTAAAGGTTTCAACTATACTTGCAACAAAGAAGTTTTCATTTCAATGTTAAAAAAGGAATAAAAATCAAAATTTTGTTTATTATATTGTAGAATCGTGTTCAATGTTACGTACAAAACATTCACTAAATGTAATATTAAACAAGATGACAAAATATTGAAATGACC